CCCCTCTCTCTCTCTCTCTCTCTCTCTTTCGAAAAAAGATTTGCTTTCTGGGCTTCTAAACAATTTGTCAACGATAGATTTTTGTGAACACGTGTCGTACAATTTCCAAAGATCTTCGTTCTGTTAAAAGATTTGGTGCTGCTGCATAGTAGTGCATAGGCGGGGTGCCATATAAGTGCCAATGGCCAATGAAAAGCGAGATCATATAATATGTTCCCAGGTTTATCCGGTATTTATGATTTATGGCCATGTTTGAAAGCCGAAAGTAGCATTTTTAGCCTAATTAATATTAACAATGTGTTAAAATCGTACTTGAAAGAACATCTTTCTTTTGATGACTTGCAACTCTCGGTTCTTTGCAGTACGGAGCAACTATTTGACCAAGAAACCTGAACAAAAACTTTAAGCTTACTATCTACTTCAACTTCCAAAGCCATTGCGCAAGTCGACATTGTTACGGCTACGGTGCTGTGGAAAATTACAATTCGATTATTATGAAATAATTCCTTGAGTTTTGAGGAATTAATATTAATGACTGTTGAAAAGCAGTGCATTTTAAAATACCCTTAGTGAAAGACTAAATTAAACTGGATTCAGAACCTGACTCATGATTCTCATGTTATTAATTTTTAAGCGATGAGCGAGTAGGAGGACGTTGTGCTCTTCTAAAAAAAAAGAAGAAAAAAAGGAGTACTACTTCCGTTTCCTACATTCCATCAGTATAATTGTTGACACCAGCAACCGTTGTGTGTGAAGATCTAAGCTTCTTGACTGTTGCGTCAAGTCGTTGAACTAAAAATGTAAGTGCCTTTGAAAGTCAATTGAACATATATTTGGATCTAGAATCTAGATGTAGGCTATAGTATATCCACATTACATCTAAAATCTAGATATCTAGATTGTAGATCAAAATAGAGTAAAATTACCGGTTCGGTGAAAACTAGTCGACTTTATTAAAGCTTTATATCTCCTATCTGCCTTGCCCTAGAGATAAACCGAAACTTGCTACAGGTAGCCCTGTAATTGGAATTTGGATGACCCCAGGAATGTACTGTTTCAGCTTGTTCGCATATTTGAGACCCTTACTGGGTGCGGAAGTGACGCCATATTTATTTACGTTTTCAGTCACATTTTTTTTCTCATGTCTCATGGATTTGGGCAGTATTTTGACATTCGGTCATTTTCAATTATTATCACATTTGTGTCTTTGCAAGCTTAATAACATGATTTTGGGAAGGACTTCTGTAACAAGCGACCACCCCATCGAACACAATAAAGAAGAGGCCTAACCCTAACCCAAACCCTTACCCTTACCCTAACCCTACCCCTACCCCTACCCCTACCCCTAGATCTACCCCTAGCCCTCAATTCTGCTCTGGCTCATAGTGGTCGCTCGTTACGGAAGTCTTCCCTGATTTTTACTGCTTGTTATCCACGGCGTCACTTTTTGCCCGATTCTGTTACCTTTAGTTAGCGTGACTCAGCAGCCCGCCGGAGCTCCTCGGCTCGGGGTCACGGGGTTAATGAGCCCTGAAGCGACTTTGCCGGTGTCAATTAGGAAGTTCGCATTTTTTACTCTTCTTCTTCTTCTTCTTCTCGATCGCATCACACTTGAAGTCCGGTATCTGTCATAAATTGGGCCGTCCTGCTCAGTTCATCTGGCGGCCCGTATAGCTTCTCTTGTAGCGTCAGTGGGGTTGGCCACGTTTCCTGTCTCAGGGCCCTGTGTGTCTTGCAGTGCTGAAGGATGTGTTCAACAGTTTGGTCCGCCTCTCCATACTGGCATTTTGGTGATTGTACTAGTTTAAAACATTTGTACATATGTTGTCTCAGTCTTGTGTGTTGTGTCCTTAGTCTGAAGATAATCACTTGTTCTTGGCGGGACAGCTCATGGTAGTTATCTGGTGTCTGAGGTGCTTTAAATAGTGTATTTATAATAGTTTTTATTTCTGTGTAGTTAACGCTGTTGTCTGGTTGCTCTTTTTGTGCTCCTAGTTTGGCCATCCTGTCTGCCTGCTCATTTCCCAAGACACCACAGTGTGATGGAATCCACTGCAGCATGATCCTCAGACATGGGATGTCCTCAATTTCTTTTCGTAGCCTTGGTAGTTTGCCAGAAGTGATTGCCTGCAGTACTGACATGGCATCTGTTAGGAATACTACTTGGCTTTGGGGGTCTACCACATTCTTAATGATGTTTGCTGCGTGTACTAGAGCCTCCGTCTCTGCCCTGTAGTTTGTACAATGTCGCCCTGTTGGGACTGCCTCTGCTTGTCGTCGTCCATTTGGGAACTGTACGTACACTCCGGCTCCTCCTCTTTTCACAGCATCAGTGGCAGATCCGTCTGTATAGATCCTTATCCATGCTTCTCGTGGGTATCTTTCTTCAAGCATGGACAGGGTGAGGGACTTCTTGCTCTGGTCGCTGTGGTCATCTTTTGTGGTGAACATAGGAATTGACGTGTGTATAGATATGTTTGTGTTTTTCTTTTCCCATGATGGTGCCTCTGGGGTGTGATTCAGCATGTTAACTGTGGCTGGTAGATGGTCCTGTAGGGATCTTTGGATTTTTCTGCTTTCTTTGATGAAGTTGGATCTTTTGAGTCTTGCGGTGTTTGATCTCGCTGTTCTCGTGTGCAGTATATGATCCTCCATAGCTGTGGCCTTGGTGTACTGTATGAGGGCCTTGCATTCCCATCTCCTCTGCAGGGCCACTATAGATGTTGTTTGTTCCATCTTTTCTATAGGCGTTGACCTCATTGCTCCAGTGATTATTCGGAGAGCCTGGTTTTGCACTTTTTCCAGAGTGTATTTGTGAGTCTGTGCTGCAGTCATCCATGCACTGGTTCCGTACTTGAGATGGGGCCTGATTGCGCCCAGATAGACCTGTCTAAGTGTTTTCTCATTTGCTCCCCACTGAGTCCCTGCTAGTTTTCTCATGATGTTAAGTTTCTTCCTGGCTTTATTTTCTGCATTCTGAATGTGTTGTTTCCATGTGAGACGCTTGTCAAAGATTATTCCAAGATACTACTGTTGATTCTCAAACTTTAGGGGAGGTTTGTCTAATGTGAGGTGTTTTGGCTCAGCCTGGCTGAGAGTGAAGAGTGTAGCAGAAGACTTTTCTTTGTTTACGGTTACACACCAGGTTTTTGTCCATGTAGTGAGTTTGTCCAATGCTAGTTGCATGCGATATGTGGCTGTAGTGACGAATTCCTCAGAGCACCAAAGAACCAGGTCGTCTGCATACAATGCGGCATGTATTCCTTTGGGCAGTTCATTCGTCAGGTCATTGATGAAGAAGATAAAGAGCAAAGGTGACATGACTCCTCCTTGGGGTACTCCTTGTCGCAGCAGCATTTTCCGTCCTTGATATCCATCCAGCATTTTTTACTATGTTTAAAACGATATAACTTCTTCCCTATCCCTCACAGCAAACGTTACGCGGATGTACCAAAAGCTCAATGTCTTGAGATTTATTCTGCGTTAGAATCGTTAATTTCTGTGCCTTAGTTTTTGTCCTAAACAAGTGTTTGTAGAGTACCCAATTTGTCCTATTTTAGTTACAAACTTATGAATGATTATTAATTTTAAAAAGGCACGACAGATCTCTCCAAAATCTGTGTTAAACTGATTACGAATATCATGTCTTTTACCATGAGAAATCTTAAATCTGCGCGAGTAGTAATAGTCAAGTTATAAGAGAAAAAAGATGCACATTTGCATTTTTTAACAAAGACGATCAGCGTTAGCTCTTATTTTACTATTAAACAAGAGAAAGTTACTCTGCATTTGTTCATGAATCATGCTGTGTCTGTGGCAGCCTGCATACAACTAAAAAGATATAATATAAGCAATTTAAAACCCCCACAAAACCGTGTTATTAAATTATATGGGTAGAGATAAACTTCTTGTATGGAATAAAAATAATGATAGCTAACACATTCATTCTTAATTTTTGTGTTGGAAACATGCGCGGACACAATAATGAATGTAAAGAAATCAGTCACCTTGTCTGTTATTGCAAATGGTCATAGAAATGAAAAATAAAACTGGTAAAGTCTGGTGCTGATTTAGTGTCCCTGGAAAGCAAGAAATTATTCTTATAACCCAATTATGAGAAGTGAACCCTATTATTCAGTCCACTTACGAAACCTAGACTTAGCGTTTTAAGAAAAGTAAGGAATTTCTGGAGTTTAACAGGTACTGTTCGTGTATTACATTGAAGATGTATTCTGGCACTAAAATCGATTTGTACTTTTCATAGAGAAACTTCATGGTAACGTTTATAAACTTTCGAGAAAATATGCGAATGTTCACGATTATATTAGACACATAAAGTTGTATTTGGAGGAATTACTTCATAGCGAATTGTGTGCCCGATGGATAAAGTTTCAAAATTACAGCTTTCTATTATATGCGCAGATACCATCTTTTCTGAGTATCTGCACCAATGATATGTCGTTCATGTTCCATATGTTCGACAGATTTTGTTGAGGCCTTTCTTTTATATTGATTTTTTTTCATTCCCGCTAGTCCCAAAAAAATTACAATTTAGCATTGCCGACTCCAGCGCGTCTAACGAAATAACCAGACAAGTTACAATATCCGTTCGTTTTTGAGTCTCAAGAGCAGAAATGCGTGCTTTGGGTGCACTAATGAGAATTACCATAAATACAAGGATACACCTAAAATTGTACGTTGAAAAGTACCAAAAATTAAGTCGGCCCAGACAGAGCGACAACAGGGAGCTGACCCCCATGACCCTGATGTGATAAGGCACCCGGCGGGGAACCCCCCGCGGCAACTAAAATTACACTGCCGGTGCGCTGTGTATCAACGCTTGGACACAATGATAGTTTGTCTAAAGTGGTTTTCATCATTTATAGCTATTTTAATGAGTATGTATCTGACCCACTCTACTACACTGGTATCTGACTCCACTACACTGGTATCTGGCTCACTCAACTACACTACTGGTATCTGACTCTGCTACACTGGTATCTGACTCTATTGCACACTGGTATCTGACTCTACTACACTGGTGTTTGACTGAGCTAATATGCTGTATCTGACTCTACTAGATCTATTATTTAAATTATGCACAAATTCTTGATTCTTTATCGTATAACCATTGGCTTTATATTATCTTATGTGCCCGAAGGATGACAAACTACGGATTTTATGTTACAATCGGGGCACCCCCCTTTGGGCAAAAATGGCGAGACTGAACTGCAAATTTTCTTTTATCCTTGATAGGGCCTCATATTTAAATAACTCTCCAGCTTTCAGAGTTTACCAAAACGTAGAATCTAGGCCACAGGTTACTTCATCCTCAACCAATGTTAACTCTTCCGGGGGAAGAGCTTCACGCTGTTTTGCTCAGTTGATGAAGAAAAAGCTGTCTTAAGGACTATTTTTAGCGAAATGCTGCCGTAACTGTTGTGTCAACGGAAGTAAGGGAGGTTGCTTTAGGTTTGTGTGCCACTCTTTTGGGGTTAGATTTAAAAACAAAGTTTTAAACGATTTTTTTGTACTCTAGTGCCCGAAAACAAAACAAAAAACCTGCTGCCCGACCCGGTATGATTACTCTAGATTTGATCTGTTGTGTTGGCGTACGTTCCTGAGTTTGTAACTTTTAACTTGTATTCGGCTACTTTTTGTCATTTTTGTAGATCTAGAAAATCTAGTTACTAAGTTAGTGTAAGTTACCTTCAAGTACAAGTCAGTCTTCAGTTCGGTTCAGTTTGGAACTGTGTTTTTCTGGTCTATAAGTAATTACAATTGTACGGCAATTTTGCAGTTGGCAACCGTGAAAACTGATTTTGTGACTTTTTGCAAAATTTTTGTCATATATATATATTATATCTATATTTATATATATGGGAGCAAGGAAAATGCGGGATCTTGGGCAAATTGGGGTCTTAGCAGACGAACCCAGGGAAGAATCTACGGTGACTCATGTTAAGGCTCATAATCGGTAAAATGGTCTCCCTCCACTCTAAAATGAACTGACGTTCTCCTCTGGATGGGTTTATGACATACGGCGAACAAAGAGTGGTTAACCTTGATGACCTATCACAGTGCATGAGGTGTGCCATTTTCACTTTATCCTATCGTGAGTCTCAAGATCTACGCTTATCCAGTTGCCCCTCTCCTTTACCTGTCAAAAATTTATAGCTTTCTTTCTCTGACGAAGTTCCCTCGCCTTTGTCGTTATGCACCAATACGTTGTGACCACATAATTAAAATTCAGTCTTTCTCACAAACTCGGGAATAGAGAAAACTGCTGCTCTGGTCTGGGAAGAGTTCACAACTCGATGCGATCCCGCCTGGAGCGAAGTGGCGTAAGTTTAGGTGGAGAGCTCATGTGCGAGTGCGATGTTCGGGGAAAACAAAAATCGGTGTGATCCCATCTGGGGCAAATATTGTACCGTTTCATCTAGTTTTACAACGCTTTGTAATCACATTCATGAGAGTGGCTGATCTTTGATACGACGGGCAGTGCATTGATCTCAACTTTTCACTCTTGGTTGATCGGCTGTACCCGCCCGCGCGTTAGTTCCATAAATTACGATAAGAAATGCGGGATCTTAGCGAAATATTGATCTATAAAGTGGATCGGAGCGGGATCTTAGGGGAGACTTTTGTATAGTAAAAATTCTGTTTTCTTGAAACAGTGGGATCTTAAGCGAACCAGGATCGTAAGCGATGGGATCTTAGGCAGAGACTACTGTGTATATATAATAATGCATATATTTTTAATTTTTTTTTACTTCAATGAATAGCATCAATTCCGTTTACTTATCTTGGCATTGTTTTGTAGTAGCTCTGTCGTTATAAATTTTTAAATTTGAAAACAATCTTGTGTTGTTGTAAAAATACAACATTTCAAAATGAGCCATAATCCATGTATTATCCAGGGCTGTCCCAGCAAGTTATTTATACACAAAACAAGAATTTGGATTTTCTGAAGTTTTGTACTCTTGTACTTAAAGTGCTCATTTCTGATTTTGTAAATCTGGATTGATTTTGTTTTGTACACTTGTATGATTAAGTGAAAACTGTATTTTTATTTTTTCTTGAAGGAGCCAACGGCCACCTACAAGTTCCAACCGGCCAACGACTGGCCGGGCTATAGGAACAGGTACGTTCCCAAAAGGGATTAATTATGGTATTCTTACTTTAGAATAGTGAAGAAGAGAGTTATCGTGATATGTGTGGCTGAAAATTGGAAAGAGCAGTAAGATTAGTGAGGAGTTAAACAATATCATTGTCACCTTCCAGCAAACTGGAAAGAAGATAAAACCTTATATTCAAGTATTTAATGATGATGATAATAATAATAAATTGCATTTATATAGCACATTTCCATAAAGAAGTGCTCACTGTGCTGTACAATAATATAAAGGAAGTATGCAGCGCACAGCTCCGACAGTAATCCTCTCTCTCTCTCTCTCTCTCTCTCTCTCTCTCTCTCTCTCTCTCTCTCTCTCTCTCTCTCTCTCTCTCCCCCTCCCCCCCCTCTCTCTCTCTCTCTCTCTCTCCCCTCTCTCTCTCTCTGTCTCTCTCTCTGTCTCTCTCTCTGTCTGTCTGTCTCTCTCTCTCTCTCTCTCTCTGTCTGTCTGTCTCTCTCTCTCTCTCTCTCTCTCTCTCTCTCTCTCTCTCTCTCTCTCTCTCTCTCTCTCCCCCTCTCCCCCCCTCTCTCTCTCTCTCTCTCTCCCCTCTCTCTCTCTCTCTCTCTCTCTCTGTCTCTCTCTCTGTCTCTCTCTCTCTCTCTCTCTCTCTCCCTCACTCTCTCTCTATCTCTCCCTCTCCCTCCAGTACATCCTTGAGTAAAGACAATCCCACAAAACTTACCCACACACCCTCGTACACATTGATGACATCACACAGTCATAAATTGTTACAGAACAGAACATCATGAATAAACGATACTGACATAATAAATACTGAGAGAACATAATAATATTTGTATTGGGAATGTCAGAAATTACATATTGAAGCTGTACTGAAACAAATGCATTTTAAGTGCTGATTTCAATTTTGTTAAAGTGGTAGACTCCTATAGATGAGCTGGCAAAGCGTTCCACAAGGAGGGGGCGTGGTGTGAAAAAGCTCTCCCTCTGAGTCTCTGACTTTTGCTTTGGACAGGTCTTAAAAGTCTTTTCTTCGCCGATCTTAAAGACCAGGATGGTATATATTCGACGACCATGACACAAAGATATGATGGTGCAATTTTGTTGACGCACTTAAAACAAAGAACAATTATTTTGTACTGAATTCGTGCTTTCACCGGGAGCCAATGTTGTTGACTTAGCGTAGGTGTTACTTGGTCTTTGAGAGATTTCTTTAAAATTATGCGAGCAGCTTGGTTCTGGAGTTGCTGTAGCCTATTTAACGTTTCAGTGGGAAGGTTTCCAAACAAAGAATTGCAGTAGTCTAGACGTGAAAGGACAGAAGATGAAATTAGGTTTTTGATGCAATCAACACTAAGATATGTTGACATTTGTCCTATTCTGCTAAGTTCTAAATAAATTACTTTACATAGAGAAGGTTTATATGATAGTGCATATTATTCTATGCAGAAGAGTGTCAGATTTAGAGTAATGCAAAGAACTGGCGCTCATGTGACCTTATGCAGTTGCAAGCGCCTTAAAACCTCTACTAAAACTAAAACTAAACTAATGCAAAGAATGAAGGGTAAAACCAAAACTTTCGAGCTAACCTTTTAATTCTCACGAACTGATTCTGATCCATCCAGGAGAAATACCATGTATGACTGTGTGTGTGTCCCCCCCCCCCTCTTTCTGATTCCCCAGCCGTCCTTTCTAGGGGTATAATTTTGCTACGTTCAAAAGGTTATTATTTCTAATGCCTCAGGATATTGTTTAGACTGAACTGAATCTCATGTAAGTAAAGTAAACCATCTCTCATTTCAGCCATGGGGCGGCAGCCAGGCACAGCTACACGCTTAACCACTGCTATGGTAAGTGATCATTGGCACAGTTTCTGAAGTCATGATGAACTTAATGACAAATAGATGAAGGAAACTGGAATGTAATTGTTTTGCTTATTTGGCAATAGCTTTCTTTGTTTCAGGACAATGGTTTAAAAGTGTATTGTAATTGACCTTTTATATTTTAGCCTCTTGCTGGCCAGTTAAGGGAATAGCTTTCATTACTGTCTGGTTTGGTTATCACAGGAAAATAGTTTGTAGAGTCAAAATATTGACAGTATAAAAGCTTTATTGTAATTTTTCCTAAAAGTGAAAATGTGAACGTAGTGAGTACATGTACTGACTAAGCATAATGAAAACTTCCGGATGAAGGGATGCTTATAGGATAACTAAAAGGCATTGTCTCCATTGTGAAAACATACTCCCTTGTCTGTGTGTGTTTCATGCACATATTTCTTTCCTTTTCTTTTTCCCTGCTCAGAATCCTGGAACAGCAAGACCCGGTACTCGGGGTGGCCAGGTGGCAGGGGGTGTTGGTAGGTCATATTTTTGTCTTTTGTCTTTGTATGCAACGTTAGAAGTACGACAATGGATTTATGTGGATCTTATTCAGTCATTTTAATTTCTGGTTTTATATATGACTCTGCTGCTGATGTAAACACTGATTGATCTATTCAAAGGAGCCACACATGACTCGGTAGTAAGAGATAAGAAATGACAAAATGCAGATACGACTCGCAAAAATAAGTATTATGGAGGTATCTGTCTGAGCATAGAGATTGAGTGGGGTATTTTTAGTCTGTAAGGCTTACTCAGTGTGTCATTTGGATATTTCAAAAGGTTAATTAGTCTCCATTTAAAGTTGACTTGAAAAAGCAGTAATGGTGAACATTTTTCTTTTATTATTTTTTATGAGAAAATAGAAAAACGATTGCTAGGATCGAAATTTTCAACCTCTTAGAATATTTTTCAGTACTCTTTTTCTCTTACTTGAGATCTCAATGTTCATACAATGTCTTTATTGATATCACTGATTGTGGTTACAGAGCATATCAAAGGCACAGCTCCTACTTCAGAACTTTGAAATGTAAATCAAATCTATGATGAATTGAGAATGCATGCATTTTGAAAAGCAACTTTTTTATGAAATTGTGGTCCCGTGAACATCTATGTTAGTTTAAACTTTTATATTTTTCCATATATATAGCATCAGCAGATTTTGTAGGAAAGCTAATTATGGGTATTTTTTGTTGCTATAAAACTTTTTTTGCTACCCACACATATTATCATGCATCAATTCTCAGTCAATATACATGTAATTGTCTTGAATGGGCTGTAAGGTACGGTGTACAGAATTAATTTCTCTCAAAGAAGAGTTTATTTATATCCCTCTTAACCTCACACAGCCCTGAATGCACAAGTTACTGTTGTAGATCGACCAACAACTCAGCAAGGTCTTGGAGGCATGAAGACTGCCGCTAGAGGTGAGTGTAGATATAAATATCCTTAAATGTTTGCATTTTTAATCCTCTCCTTGCTTGACAACAAGATGAGCCATGAGTGGAGATTTTTCATCGAAAGAAGTTCTATCTTCCAGTGAGAACAAGGAAGAAAGTATTTTGGTCTTTAGCTCTGAAGCTGTTTATTTACACTTGTAGCTTGAAAGTGATCCAATCACTTTCTCTTACACCCTCCTTTCTTCCCTTACTTCCTCCGTCCCCCCTCCCCCTGCTTTTCTCTGGCTCTATTGACCTTCTTTCTGGTTCTTTATATGTGGTAAAAATGTGAATTGGGTTTGGGAGGGGGGGGGGTGCGCTCTGTGAGGGTAACGTATGCAACTAGTGTGAGGGAAAGTTACCTGACTGTGCTGGAAGGTTTGATAGAGATGTCATGTTCAAAGTGTTGATTCAGCACAAAGAAAATATAACATATTTTACATTTCAGGTGGTAGACAAGTTCAGGATAAAAGCTATTATCTGGGTTTAGTGAGGTGAGTTTTAACTTGGTTATAAATAAGTGAATAACTTTATTGCCTCTAGGAGGAAATTTTTCCTATCATACAGTGTGAGTAGAGGAAATATTGTTCTTTTGGTAATTGTTTGATGTGTCAATAACATGAGAAAATGATGGCGTTCATGTGTGCATGTGTGTGTCTGTGTGTGTGTGTGTGCATGCATACATGTATGTGTGCATGAGCAATCCCATATGTTTGTGAGAGAAAAAAAAGCTAATTTAATATGAAATTATTTTTCCATAGTTTAAAGAAAACCCTTGAGTTATAAGTAAATTTCTTTGAAGGACAATATACTTTGTTTTTATTCCAGGAGTAAAATTAACGATCTGTATGCTGAAAATGCAAGGCTGAATAAAGACATTGAGAATGCAAGTGATGAAAATTCAAGCTTCTTGTCTTATGAAAAGAGGTATGTAGTAATTTTGTGTGAACATTTCTTTATTAAGGCAACCTTTTCCCAATTTGTTTCCATTTTGGACAGACATATCTTTTTGTTGATATTTTTAAGTTGCTTATCAAAACTCTTATCCTTGTGTTATGTTGTTTTCTAAATTCTTGTATGTCATGCAGTATTTTCATCATCACATTGTGGCTGGTAAGTGTTGACTTGCTTGAAATTCAAATGATGAACAGTTTTTTCCTCATAAGATAACCCTTATTTTTTTTTGGGTGTTGTTCTTTCTTTGCCTGTTGTGTCTACCATAAACTATTAATGGTTCAGTCACAAGTATATTTTTCCTGTACCTCTCTTATCTCTCCCCCCCCATTCCCCCCGCCACTATCTCTCTGTTGGTTGTTTGCTTTTTATGTTTATCACGGTGTCAGTGTAGTTTTTATGGTAAGATACATGCCTTAGTGGGGTTTTTTTGTTGTCTTTTCATTTCTTTGTTCTTTTACCTGGCCTTTATTCAGCTCTCTGGACTTGCCATTATAATATATTAAAAACTCAAAAAAGGTTTCAATAATCTAGTTATGTGTACTGTATTGATTTTTTTTCTTGTATTGTTCTCAATCAGAGCTGAGGCTTTGGCCTCTGAGATCAGAGACCTGCAAGGGGAGCTTGGGGACTACAACACGGTAAGTTGTGTACTACAGGATCAGGAATTGGTCGAAGCATAAAGATTTGAGGGAGGATTTGCTTGGTCAGTTCACTCCAGTAAGGAGTGCACATTTCCTTGAAGATGTCCAGAAGTTTGGTCACGTATTTCAAATCTGTTTTCTGTTCTTTTAAATTGAAATCAAAAGTACTTAAAATCCTAATGTTTCTCAGATGTCAATCTGATATTCATTGTTGTGTCAAATTACCAGTGCATCTATAAATGGTGTTATCCCAATACTTCTAAATCTTAGGAAGTTGAAGATGAATTTCACTTTATTTTTTATTGGTCAAACTTTGCCTTTCAAAGGAGATTATTGATTCCTCTTTTTCTAAATCAACCCAGTTATTAAGGTATAAAAATGTTCAAACCAATAAAAAGGTATATGTACGACCAATATTATCAACACAAATCGTGTTGGAATGTTATTGATGTGTGTGCCATTTATTATTTATGTGGTTTTCATGAAGTCTTTTGTGATGGTAAAATTGTATACTTGATGGATTGTTGGCCAGTGACATTGAACACTGAATATAATACCTAAGTACCTATCACAATAATCCATCTTCATTTTTGATCAGAGACCAAGGTGCCTCTCCTCATAAAGCAAATCTCACTAGTCCAGTATGCTTAAAGTATGTTTATCTCCTGCCTGACAGCTGTATTCCTTTGATTCGTGTTAGGGTTTTTAGTTGTAATGGAAAACAGGTTGCAAAGTTGTATCAGTCTCCTTTGAAGACACATTCATCCTTTAAAAAAAAAAACTTTACTTGTGTAGTGGAGCACTGAAAAAGGTAATCTTTTTCCAGATGATGTTAATAAAGTAAGGCCCAGTGGTTAGTGAGCTGACTCATTAATAATATCAAGCAATGTTAAACTTAAAGATATGGTGTCCAGTGTGTGGTCACTGGGATCTATCCTTGCGGAAGACACCATAACAGTAGCTAAAAAAACCCTCCCCGGGTGGCTATTCTATAGTGACTAACAATGCTGTTTTTGCTTTGTCTGTGTCATGATATTGTTTATGATGTGCTGCTGCCATGTTGATTGAATTTTTGTATACATCGTACTTACTGTTCTCAAATTTCAATAAAAATATGTGGTAGTACTTTTCTTTTTCTTTATTCTTTTTTTTTTCCCCACTTGTTAATGTTAAGCTTTCTTCTCCTTTTTTTTCTCAGCTGGTCGATAAACTGACAACAGATGAAGATATTCAAGATGTAGAAGCCGACTGTGAAGCAGTAAGTTTGAGAAAACTGCCTGTAGAAGGTGCTGCTTTATCTTTTTCTCTGTCTGGCTTTTCGTAAGTGGCGCCAGTGTTCTCCTGGTTAGGCTCTCAGACTTGCAACCGAAATGTCATGGGTTTGAATCCCGTCAGGGGTCTGACATTGTGTCCTTGGGAACGGCACTTTACACAAATTTTCCTTCCTTCGCTCAGGTGGGAATGGGTACCTGACTATAGACAGCAAAAGATCTTGTCAGTTTGTAAGTGTTTGGCAGGTGTAATCTGCAATGTGCAGCATGTGCTTTCTGGGAAGCTGAGAGTGTTTGTAGTAATAGTGGTAAAGGGTATAGATCATGCTGTAGAGCATGCATATGTACTAAATAAATGCAATTATTATAATTAAATATTATAAGTGTCTGCTTGTCATTTCAGAATGGTTGATGGACAAGCATGGTAAATGCTACATCTTTCTGCTGTTTGATTACTTGTCTTCTTTTCCACACCTTCAGATAACAATATATTTCTCTTGAACTTGAGCTAACTTAGCCCTTTTTCCTTCTATCTCTGTTCCCTCCATTGTCCCTCCATCATACATTTTTTTCCATTTGTCTGTCTGTCTGTCTGTCTCTCTCTCTCTCCCCCCCCCCCCCCCGCCTCCCTCTCTTTATTGGTGTTTGCCTTTTTAAAATAGATGATTTGTGTATTTATCAACCTCTTCTCTTTAACTTACCTGCAAGCTAGTCAATTATTATGTTGCTTGAACGTAACAAATGCATAGTATTTAAAAACTATTCATCAACCTTCTGCTGCTATGGGCTACATGAACGAGGTCATCACATGAGAACCAACCTGATTATTGACATACATGATGAGTTCTTAGTGTAAGATTCCAGCATATGTCAGTTTGAAAAGTGGCGTATGTGTCACGGCTTGGTGGAATCGGGCACTTGTCAATTTTTGGGCTCTGATATCATCAGAAAGCTTATTCATTTGCCTTGCTTTCGATGAAAAAAAGCCCCCACCCATCTATCTTGGACAGAAGTCGAGATATTTGCAATTGAAGGAAGGTTGGTTTCAGAGGTAAAGTTAGTGAGAAAATGGCTGCCAAAGTTTGGTAACTTCAATAGCTTGAAAGTCCTTGAAAACTGAAAATTTACAATTTCAACTTTGACTAATGTCTCAATGTAACTTTTCTCACATGTATTTATAGGAACTGTCAAATTTGCTATGGTCACAATTTGAAATAGGTTTGGATAAAAAAAACCTTGTCTCTTCTTTCCTGGTTGAAATTTTTTCTAAATGGTGTTGTTGATTCAAGAAGCTGCTCTTTGCCTTTGTACAGCCATCATTCCCTATCGTAAAAATGCTGTGTCTTTTATAGGTGACCGTTTCAGTTTCAGCATGGTTAAGATTTTGAAGTGCTGTCCTAATTTCAAGGAGATTAAGGTCTTGCAAAGACTTTTGCTAAGTGATTTGTCAACCCTTATTTTGTTTGACGTTTTTATTGTTCAGTATTAAATAAACTGCTCTCCCAGGTATTTTTTTGCTTTTATTTTTTACCGTATTTGTACAGTCTTTGATTTTGTTTTTCAGCTGAGATCTGAAAATGACAGAAATGCCAAGAGAATGGAAGATGGATTTGAAATGAAGAAGCAGTGAGTTTTTGTAATTTTGTTATCTATTTGTAAACCTTGTAGGTTTTCTGTCTCTTTCAGATAAAATTTTTTCTAAATTTTACAAATTCCTTTCCTGATAAGTAACACATTAAAAAGTATATAATGTTATTTAAAGGTCATAGGTTGTTATTATTGTTAGTATTATAAGTATTAATAATAATATTATTATTATTATTATTATTATTTTTATTATTACTTATTCAGACGTGAAGACCAGATCCAGAATTTGGAGACTGAGCTGGATCAGGAGAAAAGAATGGCAGATAACCTTGTCAACGACATGGTGAGTGCTGTGTCCTGCCTGTTATAGGGAGGGGGGGGGGTAGAAGACCCACTGGACACCGGCAGGTGTACAACCCTTCTAATCATAGAATGACGGAGAGGTGTGGGTGATTTGTCTATGATCTCAGGAGCCCTGTTTTAGCTGTTGTCTGGGGGAGTGGTAGGGATGGGAGGATAGTTACAAAAATAGACAAACTGCACACCAGCTTGAGGTGTATAACCTCTCTAATTATATAGAAGAATAAACAGAAACAGATAATTTGATTATGACCTGATGAATGTATTTTGGTTGTTGTTGGTTGAATAAAAGGGGGGGGGGAGAAAAGGGGGTATAGTAACAAAAGTAGACTCTCTTCACACCAACAGGATGTGGTAGGGTGGTAGATTTTGTTGTTAGTGATGTGGTGGGTGTCTCCTTGCTGTTTGGGAAAAGGGGGGGGGGAGTGGTACAGGCGACCTGTGAGTGTATGTACGCATTTTAATAAGGCTTTGTGAGTGTGTGTGTGTGTGTGTGTGTGTGTGTGTGTGCGCGCGCGCGCGCGCGTGTGTGTGTGTGTGTGTGTGTGTGTGTCGGTGTCTGTCTGTGTATGTGGGTCTGTGTTTGTGTGTGTGTTCGTGTGTACCTGTGTGTGTGCTTAAAAATTACAAGTCCTAGTCTGAGTTGGCGAACATTAATTATGCTGCAGGTCTGAGTCCCGTACATTAATGCTAATATTATCATGCTTACATAATGTCGTTCTCACTTACATGAATCCAGCGGGGGGTCTTTTTGTTCCATCGATTCCATTGTTTTATTAATGTCACTGCTGGTTCACCGCTCTGGGGTGTCATGCGAGTATTTCTTACCTCAGTGCTTCCAGCACTACATTTTGCTCATTGCGAAATATGACCGTTTGCCAATACCGTTGTGAAATTGACCGTTATCGTGGTATAATTATATATAT